TAGAGGGGCCGCTTCGGGGGGGCCTCCGGGGGGAACTGCTCGTGCCCGCAGCTCTGTCCGCAGGCGGGGGGGTGGTAGGCGTGCAGGCCAGAGCTGTGGCCGTGCTGGGCGGGGGGGTACTCGGCCACATGGAGGCCACACACCTCGTGGTTAGCCAGGGCGTGAAGCGGGTACAGCCGGCCGTGGGAGCTGTGGAAGTGGGGGCCGTCGTCCGGCCCGGCGTCCGGGGGGCAGCCGGGGCAGGAGCGCTCGCCGTAGGAGTCGCAGCTGCTGCCGCAGCTGGCGCTGCTCTCGCTGCCGCACTCGGAGCCGGCCGAGCCCAGCGAGCCCAGCCGCAGGTCGGGCTCGTTGGGGTGGCGGCAGTCCGGGCTGCGGCGGGAGGAGAGGCTCAGGCCGGAGTAGGCCCGGCTCACCGAGAAGTGGCCCGGGCCGGCCGCCTCGCAGTGCGGGAACAGGTCCTGGCCCGGTGGACGCGGCGCCCCTCTGGACTGCCCCTCATATGGGCCGGGAGGGGGAGCCCCCGGGGACCCGGTCAGGCCCCCGCCGCCCCGCTGGCCCTCCACCCGGCCTTTGGCCAGCAGCTTCTCCTCGGCGTCGCTGTAGGACAGGGCCCGGATGCTGGGGTCCGACTGCCGTTTGGGGGCGCCCTTTTTGGCCTCGATGCTGCCGGCCGGTACGCTGTGGCTCTTGATGAGGCCCGCGTCGGCCTGGTTCTTGGCGCTGACGCAGGTCTTGGCGCTGGCGCGCAGCTCGTCCGCCACGGCGCGCTGGGGCTGGGCCCCGCGCTCAGGATGGTAATATTTGCACTTGTGGCCGTAAGTGCACTTCTTCCCTGGACAGAAAAGATGGGGGTTCTCAGTCCCTCTACGTTTTTCACACACATGTAACTCCAGCTGAACTCACTGCACAGATGTCTTAATGGTACTCAATTGGTCATTTTGCCACAACTGTTGCATCAGGATTTAGTCACATAGTAATCAGAAAGGCTCTCAGTGCTCGAGTAGACTAGATCTTAATGGGTGACTTCTTGAGATTTTAAACTCCCTTTTTCTCAAATTTCCCCTTTATGGAACAAAAATGGGAATATCTTATCTTTAGCTTTTTGTCCAAAAACAGAAAAAAGGTCAGTTGTTCGGACTACTGGCATACACTGTTGTGGTTATTCCTGTTTGTGTGCCTTTGACTGGGTTTTCCTGCAGACCGGAGCGCCTCTCACCGTATGGACACGGTTGTTTCTTCTGCTCAGGCATGACGGGCTTTTTCCTCAGAAAGTTGTCTAAGCTGGGGCCATGGCGGCCGAGGGGGTCATCGGGTGGCATGAATCTGAAACGAGGACGCAGGAATTAAAAAACTTTTTTTTTAAAAGTTGAGTTAAATCTTTTAGTCTGTTTTAGTTCATTGTAAAACGGCAGACCGGAGGCAGGTCGCTCTGAGAACTGAGAGCATGTTCGTAGTTTTCTGTAAAGAAACTGACATTCTACCTTATCAAAATAGTCAGAAACAAGCTTTTGTGTAAGCTCTGGTCCTTTCGTATCTCTCCTACTTACTTATCATTGACGAAAGAATACATGAGCAGCCGCTCGTCTATGAACTTCTTCCACTCGGGCTTCTCGTTAGCCAGGTCTCTGTAGTTGTCGTTGGAGACGATGATGCCGTCTGACTCATATGCCAGCTTTACAATGAAGCGGTCGTCATAGCACACCACGCGCCGGCCTTGGACGCGGCGCGAGGGAGTGAAGACCAGGATTTTTTCCTTCTCAAGGCGACGCAGGATCTCTTGATCTGTGAAGGGGGGGTGGGGGGGTTACAGCAGGGCAGGAGGGACGGCCTGATTCTGGCACACAGCCTCTGGTACTCACCCGTTATGGGGGCATCGGGGCGCGACTGCTCTTTCCTCCAAGCGGGCACGAAAACCGTGATGCTCTGATGGCCGCGCTCCAGGAACCAGTCGACGGCCAGCTGGATGCCCTGACAGGAGAAGACCTCCTTATTGCCATGGCTGCAGGACGCGGCAAAGGGGAGAAAAGCAGTGGTGGATTAGAGTTTAGCGGATGCTGGCCCTCACTGGTAAAAAGCCAGAGTCTGCTTTCCTGACCGGCCGCTCACCTCATGGCCACGTTGCTGCCGTCCACCACGACTGGCCGCAGGTTGTCCTGGTCACAAGCGGAGTCTGAAGGACACGGCGAGTCCGAGCGCTGGCTGTCCAGCAAATCGGAGCAACCGCAAGAGGACGAGGAGGAGGATGAGGAGGATGCAGAGGACACTAATCCGGCCGGCTGCTCGCCCTCTGTCTTGGTGCCCAGTTTGACCAGTTCTCCCAGTATGTCATTGATGAGGGTGTTGGGGCCCAGCTTGGACAGAACCAGTCGCACCGTCTCCTCAGAGTAGCCCAGCTTCAGGGCGAACTCCAGCTTGGCCTGGTACTCTCTCCCCACCGCCTCGGACTCCGGCCCGGCTGTGTGGGGCTCAGGCGGGGGCTCAGGCTGGGGCTGGCCAGAGGACGGGGCGGGCGCGTCCTGCTCGGGCTCAGACGGGGGCTCGGGGGGCCCATCGGTGCCCAGGTCCACACACGGGGTTCTACATAGCGGCTGGTGGGGGTTTTTGGCGTGAGCGGCTGCCCCCTCGGCCCCGTCGGAGTCTGTGGCGGCGGCGAGCGTGGAGGTGGAGGACGGCGCAGAATCCCAGTCTACATCGGAGCCGCTTTCCTCCGGCAGCGCGGCTGGAGGGGAACTGGCTCTGGAGCCCTCCCCCTGCCCCTCCATGGCAGGGGGTCTGTCAGCGCTGCCAGCTTGCCGGTCAGCCCCCACTAAGTGGAGATACTCCAAATCTAGCCCCAGGTATTGGATATGGCCCGCTCCTGCCTCCACATGGTCCTTCTGGCCCATGGATCTGTCGCAGACATCCAGCACTCCGGGCTGAGTACGGCCCTCTTACAAAGCTCCACTCATTAGTGCCTAAACGGAGACGGAGAGCAATTTGTCAGTTAAAAACAAAGCAGTAGAAGATAAGAATATGGAAATGTTTTGTTTGAGTTAAGACTTGGTTTTTATTGTTTAATAGACAGTGCAGATGTCTGCAGGGAAACTCGGTAAATCCCGACTTAAACTGATATGCAGATGAGAAAGAAGCCATCTGTCACCCTGTTCCAAAAAAGCAAAGTGGCTTTGCTTTTATTCAAAGGATCATTTTGGGTGGATCCTGTCAGCCCAGAAACACCTGACTGCTCTTTGCTGCTCTGTAGAAGCTCTGAGCTGACGTCCGCACGGCGCTGGACGGCTGTCCGCCGCAGACTCTGCTGCAGACACAAAGAGACGGGGCCCCTCATCCTAATTAATGGACTCCCGCCTTTTTTTTTGTTTTCTTTCGGGCTGGCCTCAGTGTGTTTTTTAAAAAGCCGTGTCACAGCACGTTAATCAACAGGGTAACAGAGGGTGAACTTTACAACAAGCTGTTAGCTTGCCCTGTAGCACCCCCCACCCTCCCCTTCCCTTCTACCTGGTAATTAAGGTCCATATGCTTCCTCCCACTGTGGTGCAGGAGTCACTTATTAAAGCAGTGAGCACTCTGAGCCCACATGCCAGCCAGAATATCATGTTCAGCCGAGTACATAATACCTGATTAGAGATTTAGCTGCAATTAAATTACAGCCAGAAAATGACACTGTTGTTCTCTGGAAACATGACGTCATTGGAAGTTTCTGTATCTAATTCAATTAATACGTTTTTCCTGTAATATGGGACCCCATTTTAATGATTTATTTTGATGCGTGAAACCAAACACGCAGCATTTAAAAACACTACAAACACAAAACATTTATGAAAGCGGCTTAAAAATCATCTGGACAAAAACAGATGATGGAGGGGAAGTAACTCAAAGATGGAGGGGAGGGGAATCGGGTGGAGTGAGAGTGCATTTTATGAAAAGGGGCTGCCTAGCAACGAGGCTGAGCTACTGTTGCTAAGCTACAGCTGTTAAAAGCATTCTCCCTTCCAAATGCCAAGACAGGGGCTGTTCAGACGGTGACCCGCCTCACACACACACACACACACTCTATCAAAGGTCTTATGTGGGGGATGGATGGGGCCTAAGTGTGTCTCTCTGACAAAGGACTGCTTAGGACAGGGACCTTGGCATCAGTCACTGTGGGTGTCTGATGTTGTCTGTGCACAAACATCCTCTGCCTCACAAGGTGACTCACTGCTGTGAAAGGAGCAGGCCGACTGGAAACCGTTCACGCTCCCGTTTCAGATAGACCAACGCTGCTGAGTAAATTGACCCCACAGGAGATCTGGAATCACGCCATAAAACGGCATTGTGCATGATCAGACTCAAAGCGTCAAGTCAGCCTTCAGACTTTTTCAAAAAAATTAATGAAACTTAATTATATTGTTTTTACAATTGTGAGACAAAATGAGCTAAACTATTGTTTACTATTGATATACAAACTAAAGGATTGTTTCATCCATCTCTAAACTTTTCTTACTAACATGTAACTGCATGGAAGTCTTCTGATGTCTCTAACAAAAAAAAGAGAAGACATGTTTCAGACTTCATCTAAGCAAGATGAGAACAAATCTAAAAATATGCAGCCTATCCCATCACATGAGGATCCAAATGTTTGATAAACAGATAGCACGCACTAGTTTCCACTTCAGCCATGATGTATGAGGCCAAGATATGTTTATGGAGCCTGATGCATCTCACATGTATCCCCCCCCCCCTTTGGACCACAGTACTCTGTTGGTGTTAATGGACCAACGGCAGGGCTGCCTGGTTGTTCCGGGTAGGTGCATCTTTCAAACCTCCCACACTCAGCGGCTCTGGTGGAGTCAGCACTCGATCCCTAACGCAGTCCCTCCAGCGCTTTGTGTGGGGGCGCTTTGTGTGCAGGGAGGCAGCGCACGGGTCTGAAAGGCGGTTTGGGAGGGACTGCGGGGGGCGGGATGTCTGGTGGTGCTTCGCTACATGCCCAACACTGTGCATCAGCGAATGTTAAAAAAAAAAAAAAAAAAAGCAGGGGGGGGCAGAATAATCGTGTGTGTGTGTGTATTCATGTAGGTGGTGTGCTGGGCTTTCCCCGCCAGTAACAGAGCAACAGATGTCTGCTGAGCGGTACTTGCAACTGGTGCCTCCATCACACACACACACACACACACACACACACTTACACTCCTGTCTACACACAGCCAAAAGAGTGAGAAGTAAAACACAAACACACCTTTCATATGTTATGTGAGGCCAACACTGTAGACTCTCTAGTCAGTCTCTTCTGCTTCCTCAAAGTGAAATCACTCTTCCCCCATGTTGCCCACCCAAAACGCTCCACCCAGGCCGCCTGACTGCCCCGGTTCAGGTTTCGCATCAACACTCTGCCCCGCCGCCAGGGCCCGGCTGCAGCTGCACACTCCTGCAGAGTTTGGGCTGGAGAATCAGTTTCCTGCCATTAAGTGCAGAAAACTGACTGTTCAGGGTTGTGAATGGGCCATATTTCAGATTCAACACCAGAACCCAAACTCAGGAAGTGGGACGCACCCCTTTCTGACGCTACCACACAAAGACAACGTTGACCTGTTACTTCAGAATTTCAGCCCCAGGCCCAACCTGTCATGCAAGGGTCTCCAGGATGTTGATCACGTTGGTGACCTCAGCGTCAGTGCATTAAGGATAAATATGTTTGATAAGAACTAGCTTCAAATTTTAGAGAAAGAGAGAGAAAAAGGTCATATCATCAGTTCAGAGTTGGAGACTTCATCTCACTTACCAGACCAGAAAAAGATAAACAGCCAATCAAAAAGGGGCACTCGATCATCTCAACTCTACATATTGAAATCCTTAAAGCAGCTGAGTAAACTCTGCACGTGAAGCTGGGATGGAAGAAATCTCAAAGCACCCAAAGCAGCTGCATCCACGGCCGATGCTGCAGGTAAAACACATCCAAATCCGCCTCTGTCCGGGTGTCTTCCTCCCTCTCTCTGCAGAAGCAGCCAAGTTGGACAATGAGCAGCAGAACAGATGGAGCAACAATGTGCCATTCCCTCATCTAGAGTGGCTGCCTCTCCACCAATCGGAGAGCAGAGGCCTTACAATGAGGCGCAGGGAGGTAGAGGAGCGTGGGGGGGTAGCGGCTGTGGGCAGATGCCTGAAACAACCAGTTTCCCCAAGGCACGCTTATTTGGTGTGCACTAACGCACACACACACACACACACACACACACACACACACACTCCTGAGCCTGAATGGGCTTCCCCTGTGTGGCCCATGAATCAGCGAGGGCTGAGCGGATCAACAATGGCGCCGCACAATGGGAGCCTCGGGGGGGGCAGCTGCAGGGTGAGGGCCGGTGCTATTACGGCCCGGGGCGGCAACGGAGAACACCTGGCTGCAGAGCGCCACAGTCCCTCTCCTCCCTTTGTCTCAGGCTGGGGGGGGTGGAGGGTTCAAACAGAAAGAAAGGAGTGAGGCTGGCTGAAAGACTAGACAGTGCAGGAGGAAAGAGCAGAGTGTGGCTGAGCTCAAAAGAGAAAGGGGATCAAATAGTTTTATGTGCCTTTATGTAAGGGGGGGGGACCTGCTCTACATTGTTGTGGCACACTTAGGGCAGATGACTCAGAAACACAAATCTTTGCTGTTGTATGTTTTAAGTGATGGTTAAACTCACAGAAGATTTTAAATAAGACATGCATGAAGTTTCTCATGTAATGTGAGCCTGAGGAAAAAGTGAGCGCAGAAATAGGGAGTAAAAAAAGCGACCCCACCCATGCTGCTTTCAATGCAGTTGAAAGCGTTACAGTCAGGTTAAATTCATAGTTCACTGCCATGAAGGAAATACATCAGCAAGAAAAAAATGTGTTTACTGAATATCAAACATGTATTTT